TGAAATCAATGCGACCTAAGCACATGCCTGAGTGTTCTGTGAAGCAGAAATGAAGTATTCAATTAAATATTTGCATCTGTCAAAGGGCTTTGTTCAAATACAATGTCTAAAGATTCTAAAAACTAACATCTTTTTCCCCGTCACATTAGAAATGCAACTAGATTTGGTCTAAATGAGAAGGAAGTTCTGGCTTTGATCTAACCAAACATTGTGACAAATGGACAGGGGGAAAAGAGGACGTTGATCTTACCATGAGACTCTTGGAGTCTGTTATGTGTACTTAACAACGGGAAATACAAAGTCCCAAAAGTAAGTGTTCATGGATAGACAGACACAGACTCCAAACTTCGAGGGGAAAAAAAAAAAGAAAGAAATTAACTGTTACCACAAAAAAAGCATTTTCATCACTAGCTCTTAGTTTTTAAATGACACACAAGGATTTTCTACTCTAATAAAGCCTGCTGTATATTCTGGTAGTAACCTTCAGATCTGAAGAAATTTTATATAAATCCATAAGTTATATTTCTTTTTGTATTAGGGGAAAATATTTCAAATGCAATAAAATAGAAGAGTGATATCAGAATTCATGACTGTATAGTAGGCAACTTTTCATTTTTCAGATTCAGTTGTACAAACTACAAGCTGTTAAATTTCTCTAATAACTGGAAAAGTTGTGGGTATTTGAATTTACTTACCTGAATACTCATTTAGCAAATATCTCCAGATACAAGTCTAGATACAGAGTTAATGTAATGTGAATATTAGTTTACACATAATATAAATCAATGTTTGACAATATCAAAATCCCATCAAACAGTGGGCCCTTTTTATGCTATTATCAAATATAGTATATCACTGTGGGATAGCTGAGAATCATAGAATGCTAGTAGTGTAGGCTTGTTTATTAAATTTGGTCAGTTTTCAGACCTTCCAAATAGGAATACTAAACATTTATTCTTCCCCTCTGGAAATTCTTTTTTTTTTTTTTTTTTTTCCTTCCCCCCTCCTCCTGCTTAATACAGTCGTCATCCCAATTCCTAGTGAATTTATAAAAATATTTTTTATCCAATAACCCCGGCAAGGTAAAAATAGGAGTTTTTATAGCAAATGATAAACAGGCTCACGGACTATGAGAGAAACTAAACTTATTTAAATTGCCATACATTCGCTACTGAATCACACATCAACTTTTTCTTTTTATGTGTGTTGCTGTCCACCTCAGACTAGCAGTTTTTAAGGTGCAGAAGCATCTTTCAAATATATGCATCTAACTTGATCATTAAGTTCCACACACTAGTGTCACATGCTTTAAATTTACATCACCTGCCCATCAAGAGCTGTGTTAAATAACAGCACTAATTGAAACTGCATAATTCTTTAGAAATTGCAGCACTTCCAATTCATAGAACAAAGGGGTGCTTATGTGGTTCTTTATATTACTAGATATAATTTTCTGAAATAAGGAAAAGAAATGAAAAAACACATTTGAAAGAAGTTGCTGCACCTGCAAAAACACTCTTTAAGCTTACTATGAAATACAAAAAAGTGCACCCTTCTATATCTACATATAAAACATATTAGAAATAAAACTTGTGTAAAATGTTTGCTGTGCAAACTATAAAAACAGTCAGTCAGTCCATTCTTTTTCCTAAACATTTTGTCACACTCTCTTGCTTCCTACTGCAGAGAATCGCTGTTATCCAAGACCAGCCCACTGATATTTGTTGTTGAGAGATCTCCTCCATCATCTTCACCGCTGTCTACAGACTCATCCTCACTCTGCCCTGCCATCATAACTTGCTGAACAGCCAAAGTAGCACCATCGGATGACAAAGACTGGAGACTGTCTACATTCATGTTGACTGGAGCTGTAATTGTTACAACAGCACCTGGAGAAGCACAATTGGAGTACTTTAGCATCTTTCTTGGTTTCTAATTTTATGTAACACATATTTACATATAACAGAGTTTGTTTCTAATCAACAGGAAGAAAACCTAAAGAACTAAATTAAAATAAAAGCTATATAAGTTGTCAAACACTTAAATATCAGGAAATGCCAGAATTAAGTTGGCCAGGAATCTTAAACTTAGCTGTGTTATGGATACCCATTACAGCAATTCTCCAATCAAGTCATCACAAGACCATTTCTGCAAAGTATTCCAGTTTAATTCATTGAAAAAAAAAAAAAAAAAAAAAGTGTTCCTAGAGATTCAAGGTGACTTAAATGGTTAAAGCTGTTGTCAGATCCAGTGGAGGCTGAGGGAAAAGTTGCTACAAACTAGAAAGGAATAAAGCAGCAGGCGGCAGGACAGGAAGGATGGTCCTGAGATTAAAGCAGTTATTTATCTTTCTTAAATTGAGCCTATTTATTTCATCTGATGCTAAGGAATTTACTTCAGTCAAAGTCTTTGGAGGCTCTATTACATTTCTCTGCTTCTCAGTGTTCAACTTGAAACACGAGGCATATATAGAATTCCAGATGCTCAGTCCCTCTAGCAGCAGTGAAAGGAATGTGAACAGCATGGGGAGTCATGAAACTGAAACTGCATTCCAATACTGCTAATCAAACAGAATGCTACTGACGTGTGTACGCATGAGAGAACTTAGTTGCGCATCTAACCTTTGTTCTGTTGCTTTATAAGTTTTGAAACAAAAGCAACAGTCTCTCAACATAAATTCCGATAGAATACCGCTCCCCCACGCCGCAAAACACAGAAAATTTTTAAAGAGGGAAAACCTGACACATTTCTGTTATGTTTTTCCAGATTAAAAACACATTTATACTGGAATATCAAGAAGTTCCCCTCCCCCCAAAGGCATCAAGCCCTTCATTTCCCTGTTATAGAAGAATCAACTTTATTATCTGTGGTTTAGACAGTTCTCCTTACCATCTGACATCGTGAGCTCATTAGATTGCTGTTGAGCAACGCCTGAGGCAATGGAGTCAGGCCAGAACCTCTGAACCGGTCGGTTCTGAGCCGTTTTCTTCTTTGTTTTTGGAGTTTCAGAACAACTGGAATCCAGCATCGGCTGAAGAATTCGCCTTCTAGCATTGATAAACCTAAACACAATCAAAGGCAAGAAGTACTTATGACCAGTTGGCTGTAAATTCTCTCTCAGATTCACAAAGTATGCAGCAAGAAAAAAAAATTAGGAATATAAAGTCATCTCCCTACCAGCTTGGCTTGACATTCTTTTTAATATGTAAAACTGCTCCTAGAACACTGGCATCCTTTGATTTTGGCAAACTAGTTAAGAAAGTACTTCTATCGTTTTGCTGCTAGCAGCATTTTTTCCCCCACCTCAGAAGGGGAAATTCTCCAGACAGCATGACAGATGTACATTTCAAGAGCTTATTAAAAACTAAGCACCAGAAAACTTGCTGACAGCACAGCTCAGAAAGCTGATACTCCTCTCATTAGAGTTCACCTGAAATCTAGCCCCTGCCTAACCTAGTTTGTTTGGTCTGGTTTCATTTACTTCCTTCAGCTCCCACATTACTTACTTTATAGACTCCCTGGCTTTCCAAGGTCCGGTTCCTGATCCAGAAGACAATAGCAAACACATTTTTCAGATCTTTCCCAATTCCTTTTCATTCCCTGATTTTCACTTGTTTACTTTAGCATGCTAATTGCTGCCCTTCCCCTTTCTGCTAGTGAACAAGAAAATACTTAAAGCACATCTCAATTGGCTACCAGCAGTTAACTGAATCAATTTCAATGTAGCTAGCTGTGGCAAGGAGCTGTGACTGAGGATAGCATCCCTTGCTAAATCTGACAAAACACATCCAGGACCCATCTTTACCTGCAATGGAAGGAAGTAGGGTGCACCTGGCAGGTCCACATGGTGTAATGCAACACTTTGCAGAGACACTAGTTGGATCCCAGTACCATATAGCTCCGTTACTACTGTGTCACACAGGCATAGTTACACTGTTCCACTTTTGGAACTAGTGTACTGCCACTGTCTTGAGTATTTCCCCACTGGACCCCTCTGCAGCTATGCAGCCAGTGTCATCTTTGAAATCTGAGGAAGATCCCTGTTGGACTTAGCTCCAATAATTTTAGCAACCAATACCACAAGCAGAATAGGATGCATGTCAGCACCGTCGCTCCTCTCTTCTGCAGGGGCAGGGGTATTCTCTTACACCTCTAGTGAAGATAAGACATGCTAAAACATGTTGAACCATGAACTAGAGTAGATGAGGTACTGACACTCTCCATTCAGACCTCACAGTTTGGCAGATAGCATCCTTTGATAAGAGCAGAATGAATATCTGTTAACAGTAACTTCTTAAACATGATTACCAGAGAACGCTTTTCAGAGCTTGAGGTCACTAAACACCTTGAAAACTTCAATTTCTTTACTTGCAGAAGCTTTGAGAGTACTTCCATCTCTTTTAGTAATAGAACAGAATGTAATTCCTTAGTGTTGCAAAGTTTTCTGCAGTCCTTATATAATTTAAATAGCACAAGTATTATTATACCTTACTATAAAAATGTTTGTGTATCAGTGCATAATTCTTGTATTTTTATATGCATTTTGTAACATATATAGAACAGTAAGTTCAACTTCAGATGTCCAAGTTCCACTCTTAACGATTTCTCTATGTTGTAAGCACGTGAGGATGACAACAGACATTAAATCTTTGCTCTTACCAGTTGTTAACCTGGAGTAGTGTCAGATTTGTTTGTGCTGCGATCTGTTTCTTCTCATCCTCTGTTGGATATGGATGCTAAACAGGACAAAAAAACCAAACAAAAAAGGCATAAGCTTGTTTCATCTCCTCATCAAAAATAAAGACTCCTTTATTACAACTGATTAAAGCTGCTAGATTAAGACCACCTGACTCATTAAATAACAAACTTCAGAAACCTCACAAACTTTTATAGATAAAAATCATTTAACAAAGAGTGCTTTACTATACAAAACTGATTTTATCCTTGAAAGTGTATATGATACCATTAAACTGCTGATGTATAATTCAGGGGAAAAAAAAATCTTCTCATGGCTGACAGTCTTTATTAAACAGCGTGATCCCTGGGCAACGCAGCATGTGACAAGATCCGATTAGTTATGCTGTCTAAAGGCAACATCATATGAAAGTACCGACAAGCATTTTCTAGTTAAATAAAGCTACTCTGAACTAAACAGATAAAGACAGTGTACATAACATAAGAAGCATACATACAGTTTCCCTGTATCGTTTGTCTCTTGTAAAATAGTTGTAAAAAAAAAAAAAAAATCAATCAACTAAACATTGTGATATAACTTGAGACCCATTTATCCTTTCAGGATATGGATTTATACAAAGGAAAGACATCCTGTTGAAAGCACAGGTAGATAGTAACACACTTGGCACACACTAGAAGGATTGTTGGAAAGGAGATAAAGCCAGAAAATTTGAAATTCTCCTCTACAAAAAACCCCCACAAAACACAGATGGAACTATTTTTCCTTGTGCCATGAACCAGGGCGTAGAGAGCATTAAGTTCTCAACACAATGAAATGAAGAAAGATCCCTTTTAACAATGTTTATTGAGATCATGAGGTACAAATGTAACATACTTATTAAAATAATAATAAAATCAACTGACAACTACACCAAATGACTTCAGGGAAAACTGAACTGAGATTACACAAATGACAAGAGAATAAATTCACCTTTTTTATGAAGCAAAATCATAAGAGACCACATAAAAGACTTACATAAAAACCTGTGACTCCTGATCATGTTCAGTCCTTACCCCTATGTGCTGAAAAAGCCAAGATCTCATCACATTTGTAGCGTGCTTGGGAAGAACTCCTCTTTTATTTTTTGATGAGCCATCATCTTGATGCAAGATGCCTAGATCTTGGTTTAATTGCAACTGAAGCTGCACATATAATTTTAGAAGAAATAAGGCAGTTAACATAGTAATAGCAGTACTCTGTATCAATGTATGAATCTCATTTATAGGGAATGAAAAGAAATTAGGCTTGAGGCATGCTGATTATAAAAAGGTACTTTATTTGCTAGGGAAGACTTACAATAGCAGCTCTCCTACAACAGCATTCCAAAATGTCTTTATCCAGGGAAAATGCTGTATCAGATTTCTATAGTTTTCACACTCCATGTTAACTTCTGTTGTAAGAATTACAGCTGTTATCCGGCTGAGTATGTGATCTTGTGACAAAAGCCAAATGCTGATTTACTATAATTTAGAATAAAATCCACCTATGCAGTACATGTCAGGTTAATGATCCCCTGTACTAATCTACACTACCCTAGGGATTTGATTGCCTTGTCAGCCTATGTAGTCATTTGTACTCGTGAAGAGCAATTGGAAAACACAACGCTGAATATACTCACTGTGTGCAAACATAAACAACTCTGGAAGCTGTGAAATAGTACTGATTTAAGACTTAAATGAATGACTTAAAGTAAAATTAATTATTATGCTAGAGTTGCAAACAAAGATGCTAAAGGTCCTGCTAAATAAATGCATCTAAATTCTCAAAGAGCAAGAAGATATATACGGTAGAACCCTTAGTTCACTTTACAACACTCTTACTATTTTCCTAAAGGTTGATATTTATTTTTCACTTTTGCTTTCTTTTTCACTTCCTATGGATACATGAAATTGTTTCCACATCGGTTATCTGAACATTAGGGAATACGTTCTTAAATGCTTAGGCAGAGATAAAAAGAAACAGCATATAAATTGCATATGAGATTACATTTCAGACAATTATAATTGAAATAATTCTAAATCAGGTTTTTCAGACAATATGGAGCAATTTCTTCAAGCCAGTCATTATGTCTATGTCCTGTATGAAACAAGTTTTAAACGAGGTTTAAGCTATCAAATGACAACAAATACATATTTGGAGCATACTTTTATTTCCAAAATAATATTTTACATTCTAAATAATCTGCTTGTAGATGGAGGCTTTATAATGAACTTTCAATAACTCTCCCCCAGTATTCTTGCCCTACCTCCACAGCATTCTGAAACACTGAAAAAGAAGAATTTGAAGAAGGATTTCCTATGGGTTACAAGGAATACAGGTCCAAACCTATGTATAGGTGGGTTTGGAGATTCCTACTAACACCAAGAGTAGCCACAGATCTATATAGAAGATCAAGTCCTTTTTTTGGAGGGGTTTGTTTTTTTTTTTTTCCCCCATCGTTTTTCTTCAAAAACACTTCAGTCTAGGAAAGTAATTTTACACATTTCTTTCTGAAAGGTATCTGAGGACAGAACTACATGCGTTCTCGCACAGAATATGGGCAAGTACATAAATTCTGAAATACATAGGTTCACAGTACTAGTGTTTGCCATCATGATAAAAAGTCAAATTTCTGACAACAGCAGTGCAGCACCACGACAGAATATAGTAAATCTATCCAGCCATAAACCTAGTTCAACAATTAGAAAAGCTTTAATCATTGGAAAAGTGTCTGTTTAACTCCGAGGGGTTTTTGGTTTGGCTTGGCGGGGGGGTTGTTCGTTGGGTTTTGGGGTGGGGTTTTTTGTTTGGGTGGGTTTTTTTGTTTGTTTTTGTTTTTTAATCCACATACCTATGCTTTTCTGCCATGAGTAAAAAAAGATACTTAACAGGTAGGAACTATGATGACCTGTCATGACAAGGGAGACCTGTCTGGGATCTTATGCCATGTTATACAATTTGTAACTCCCATAGCAGTGCTTGCATTAGTTACTTTACTTACTATGTGTGTGTACACAGAACTCATTCTGACAGTGTGTCAAATTTAAATCAAAACTCTTAAAACCAGTGAGATCTATTTGAACCCAGAATACTATTCTGTGAAGCCCATGAAACAAACCTGAGAGTTCTGGATACGAATAGTCCCAGGTGACAGTGCTTGTGTCACTACTTGACCTTGCGGAGTGACCACAGTGACTGGCTGGTACACCGTCCCCCCTTAAAACGAAACAGCAACAAAGATTATCAGTTAGTAAAAGCCCTTCAAACATTATTCTCTTTAAACACACAAACACATCAGCACTGCAAACAATACAACAGTTTTCATAATATATCAACTATTCTCTTCTGGTAAGCATGTAAGATGTGCTCTTTTCTAACTAACATTTTTTCCATCCACAAAAATCTGTATGAAATTTGATTGTTTCCCTGTATTTTAGGCATTCTAAATCTATTTTCAAAGGAAAATGCCATGACCATCAGGCTATAAAATAGTTCATCATTTTGCTTTAACTGAGCTAACTCTTCAGCCAAAAAGGGTCACAACACCAAAACCAGATCTATGTGTGTGGACTGGTTAGGGCAGTCAGCTGGGTGACACCTAGATGTTTGGGTCAGCTAAGGTGACAGAATCTTGGTGAACACATAGGTGGTCCTGGGCACCAAAACCACAAAGCACATATTGTGCCTGAGGACAACCTCTCTGCAAGCACATGCTGTAGGAGCAGACTGCATTGCGTTGTTGCGTTTGTAGTCAAGGTTGTTTTTTTTTCCTTTCCCTGTTTGTTTGTTTTAAAACCTTGCTTAAAAGCAAGATAAAACATTTCAGTTCAACTGTCATCTCCATACAACAGCAGAACAACTTGGACATCAAGGATTTCACAGACTTGTAGGTGTGGTTCCATGTTCCATGGTGCATCAGACAGCTAGCAAGTGCAGTATTTTAGGTAATGCATGTTTTTGTCAAACAGAATTCTTTTTTTGAAGGGGGGGGGGGGGGGGGAAGAGTAAAACACCCCAGTCTCTGAAATGTCTTTTAACAAAAGTAGCATTGCACAGAAAGACTCTTAATATTATATATACATAACCTCCACTCACATATGAATACTTGGTACACATATAAATTAAATGAACATTCAGAAACCAGTAAGGCACTTGACTGTATTATAACAACTTTTCAGGTATTAGAGTTAAAACACGTTTTTAAAAGTATTTGTATACTTTTTGTAACAACTATAAAAGAAACCAAAATGAAGAGCAAGGTGCCAGTTCTTCTTTACTGTGTCATACCTGCTACTGTTGCCATAGTTACATTTCCCTGCTGCAATGCTGATGCTGGCACCATAATCCCTTGGGGACTGAGTGTGCCTGCAATGGCACTTGGAATTTGCTAGAAAAATAAAACAATTAGTTGCTTGCATTTTTTTTTTAAAAGTGTTTTTTATTTTTTTAAGGAGATAAAGCACGCTTGTGTAATTCTGGCTCTAAAAATACATTTGGAGTTTAATCACAGGATCAGCTTCAAAGAGGAAGAGACTTCATTAGAGGTTCATCATTACCTACATTAACTTTCTCATTATCACCAACCATTACCTTTGAAAACACCCATGAAAGCAACTATTAGAAAAGACATAAAACTATCTCAAGAAATTTTAGGAGAGAAACGATTCTAGGTAAATACTGAGAGAAACAGTTTCCAAAGGCACAAGTGAAAAAGGACAGATGAAATGGACCCTTGATGCTCTTATTACATAAGCATCAAAGCTGTAGAATTTTAGTTATTACCTTGATTTCTTCGTAGAATCATAGATTTCTTCAATTTCAAAGTAATGTATTAAGTATTCAAGATGCCCGATATGGTTTATTCTGCTCAGGATAGTTCTTACTCAACCCTGACCATGCAAACTCTTATGCATTCCTTAATATGCATGAACAATCTCTATTGTTACCAAATGCAAAATTCAGTCCCTCCTGTCTCAACAGACATACAAAACCCATCTTTTTTAAAAGTTGGTTTTGTCTGATTTTAGACTCTCCTCTCCACACTTCCAGACACCAAAACCTAAGTAAGGAGTCCAGACAGTGAAGTTTAAAAGTCATTGAGGCTTTTCAGAATACATAGCACCAGACACATTAGTAAGTCAGAGAAGGACCATCCCCTAAAACTAGATATCTAGTAGGTACTTGGATGGCAGGGCTCACTTTCCAGCATCTAACAGCCTAAGCATCAAACATAAAGTACAAAAACTGCTGTTAATTAATTGTTGTCAATTTACTACAAAAAAATGCAATTGGTTATTGCATTTAAGTAATGTCAACAATATATAAAGTGATGTTCACAGGTATAGAAATGGGTACCTATAACTACCCAGTCACCCCAGGTGACATGCAATGACATACATCTCAAATATTATATATATTATATGTGTAGATATAGTATTTTAATGAAGCAGACTTAGACTAAGGAGACCTTCTTAACAAGGAATTTTTTTTCTTCTCCTTTGTTTATTGTTTCCTAGCCTCCTTCCCACAAAAGAGCAAATCGAGGCTATTCCGAATATCTCCATTTGCTGAACTGAGGGAAAATCATAAAAGGAAGACAGACAAAAAAAGTGGCTCTATGTTCTGGCACATTTCAACAAATTTGTCCATCAGGCAGTGGCACACAGGTGTGCACATAAACATACAGCTCTTTCTACTCTTAATAACAGATTTTGAGAAAGTGAAAGAAACTGCAGAAACTCTGTTTGCAAACTAATAGAAGTGTAGTTATAACTTCCTACGGAAATCTATGCAAAAATACACTTAACTGTATTTGAAACGTACCTGAGATTGCACAGGTGAATAAGGACTTCCAGGCTCTCCACTTAATAGGGTTTCACTGTTCATTTTTGTCTTCAGGCAGGCAATGTAACGACTACAGAAATCCTTGCAGAGTTCGTTAACCTTTTCTAGCTCAAGCAGATGGATACGTAGAACTTGAATTGCTTTTACCATCTAGGGAGAGAATTGGAAAAAAATTTGGAAACAAAATAACTGTTAATTTAAAAAAATATTTAATGTGAGATTAAGTAAACACTACTTTCCAGTAACAAAGACTATCCAATTAAAGCAGAGTTACTAATTGCTAAGTGCTGACTATAGTTCTCAAGCTCTGACTGTTATGCTCCTGAAATGTGAAAGGAACACGTTTACATACAAAATCTGTATCCTTCCACTGCATAAGTTAACTACCATACAGGGGAAACAAAACACGACAACAATATAATCTTTGTATCTGTCACATGTGACACACTAGGAAGAGAGAGTATAGTTAAGGTGTACATGGAGCACAGAATGAGCCTGCATGTCCATGTGATCTTTTATGTCCATCATACAATTCTGGGTCATACACCACTGAAGACCAGAAGTGAAGCAAAGTAATTCCATCCACACATATCATTTGGAAAGCATGGTTGGAACAGCCTTGGTAAGCCAGTAGTCGTCTTGAGCTACCTATCAGAAATATCAGGTTCAATTCCATGTTACACCCTGACCCAAGAAGTGTACAGATGAATTTGAGGTACACTGAGAAGACCCTTCTGTGACTTTGTTTACATTTGTCACACAGATTGCTAGGGAGGGTGAAAGGTACGGGAAATGGCCTGCCATCTCACCTGTAACAAAAAACCAGTAGCTTTTATTTTTCTATAAAATTAGAATAAAGAGGTCCCAAAGTTTGTCACATTGTTCAACAAAGCTTAAAGTATTGAAACACTAGCTCAGTCCTAGAGCTTTGAACTTCCCCTGCAATTGTATGTCAAGGATTAACAACTCTGGGGTAAAATCTTCTAAGAACTTTCAGGTGAGGAGACTGTTTCTGAAATATAAACCATTAAATACAAAGCCCAAAACCCAATAAACAATCCACGTTTAAAGAAAAACTGAAGTACAGGAGATATGTACATGATGAGAATACTCATCACGCTTACTGCGAGAAAAAGGCTTTGTAAGCTTTGATAGCCAATGGTACTACATACTGCATAAAAATAGCTTAGGTGATTGTAAGGGTCATGGCAGAAGATCAAAAGCTAAAACCAAATCCAGATAGTTTAAATTTTCATGAAGCAGTAGGAAATCCAGGACATTCAAATATGTACATAACACATCGGCAAAGTCATGACTGTATTTTTTATACAGCGTGCCATCCCCAACATTTATTTGCTATACTAGATCTCCAAGAAAAATATCCTTTGGTTTCATGAAACTGAATAGATTATGATTTTGAAAGATAGTACAGAGCTTGATTTTAGCATTATTTGAAAAATTTGTCCTATATGAAGGGTCATTTACCTGGCCAGAGCACTGAATCCAAAGTGATAGCTTACTAAGTAATCCACTTAATTAATTCTAACCAAAGAAGCCAACTGGGAGCTGAAGTTGCCTTTGTGCAAGGCACGTGAAGGAGATCAAGGCAGGCAAACTCCTGTGTGTACTCCCCTCTCTACCATGATGACTTTGGCTTTGATTGTGACAGATCTTTTCCCTGTTTTTTCAGGAGAAGGTATTCCAGTTGTAGGACACTCACCCAGTGTAGAAAATTGTATGTTAAAATAAACAAGGGGGAAAAAAATGAAGTGATAACAAAAAAGGAAATCTTATCCCTTCTCAGGACTAAAAAGAAAAAAAAATACATACATCTTTAAAAGCACAGCTGCAGAAAAATCTGAGTTGTAGACTTGAGACAGTTGATCCAAATTAAAATCTGGTAACTCTTACGACCTATGACACCAAAAGCCTTTGAAATAGTAAGTGCAATGGCCCAGCACTGAGGTATATAAAACAGCAGTCTTCTAAAACAGCCCTCAGCAGTGGTTGCTGTTTAAACTGTGTTTAAGTACCTTTAAACACAACCAAGTTAAGCTATGCAAATTTAACTAGATTTTAAACACAAAACAAAGGTCATCTATGTTTAAAGATATTCTGCTCCTTTCAGAATTAATGACTGTTCTGCAATACTGCAGTAGCCAGTAGTCTCTTTTCAGAGACAAGAAAGCTTAAATTATAAAGTTCTTCATGTGTGGCAGACCAACACAGACCAAATATATTAGTGAATGCTTTAAACATTCAGCTAAAACTGAGGTAACAAAAATATGCCTTTGGGCACATACTTGACTGCATTAGTGATTAGTTTTGCTCAGTCAGGAGGGGTTTTTTTTTCTTAAACCATTACCCATATTTATATTACTTATTTATCAGCATTTGTTTGGAGGAAAAATAAAAAGTTCTTTCTTCAGCTTAGATTTAGTTTCAAATTGATGGTTGATACTTGAAGTGAAAATTGAATTAAAGCAAAAATTAACCATAAATCAAGAATTAGTAACACTATCCAGGTTTCTGTAGAGCCACACACAGTCACGCTACTCTTACAGGAAGCTGCGCTACTGTGGTTAGGAAGGCAAACAAAACTTTGTAAATATGCCATGCCTGTCACCAGGACTTACGTACTCATTTACAACTACACTAACTGTGGCCATATGGCTCCTGCTCTCTTGCAGCACGGGTGGACCAAACTTACAAGTTGTTGGCAGAAGTTCACTTTTTCCTTGAAATGAAAACAAAACAAAACAAAACCAAACCCCAAAACAAAAAAAAACCCAAACCCCAAGAACTCCTGATAAAATCACCCACGTTGAACAAAGGTAATACAAAGAAATATTTCCAGACAGATCACAGCAGCAGTAATATTTTACTCCTATGTTCTTAAAAGGCACACCTTAAAAATCTACAACCACCATGTTTTTGTTATTTAGTGCTACTGAGTAGACTATGCCACAGAACAATGAATTTTTATAACCCACTTGATTCAGCCTTTTCAGCTGCAGAAATAAACCTGGAGCATCATTTCAGAGAAATGCACAAAGACAGAAGTAACTGTGAGATATATGTATATTGATGAAACTGTTGCAAATAAAGATAATGGTAAACTATTAAGCAGAGAAAGAAAGATTATTGAAAAACTTCCAGTTCTTGCTAAAACTGCTATCCAGAGCATATTCACATATAAATATACCATATATTAAATCTGGAGACATCTTCAGCCCTAAAAATGCTTTAGATTGTGCCTGCATCCTGTCTTTTCAGTGCCTTGAGCACGTGGTGCAAAGGGCACAGAACACACTATGCACTGCCTTACTCATAATCCCCAGCTCATCTTGTTTATCTAAAATGTATACCCACAGTTTTTTTTACAGATTTCAGGGTACATAACATAAGCATATAGCAAATACATATGTGGACAACATGTATGAAAGAATCTCCATATACTGACAAATAATCTCACTCAAATGACTTCTTGTTTGCAAAAAAACCGGATTAAAATATGTACATTTACAGCTTACCTACCTTCCAGAGCAAATCCTTCTGGGGCAATTTGTCTTCAGGGGAAGAACACAAACTCTGGGAGAGGGGAGTATTTTGTTTTCATTTGTTTTGATTTGATAACCTCTCTCCCCTATACTGAGTCCCCAGCTATGAGACATCGCTAGCAAGTGTATGACTAGAGGTTTATGAGACAGTTCTGCATATTACAAGAGTAAGAACACTTTTCAGAAATGCAAAAGCATGGCTTGTTTACTCAAGAATATTCAAATGACATCAGCTGGCTTGACCACCACCACAACTTTTCCTGACACAACTAAAAATTCAATAGGATAGTCTTTGAGAAGGGGGTACTGAACCAAAAATCCTTACCCCAAATGAAACAAAAAACTCGGGGGTCTTCAAAAAAGGCAGTGTCCTGTTCAAATACAAAAGTGAGAGTATATTTAACACCCCATGTTCTGTATTGCTTCTAGACTTGATAAAGCCGTAAGTAACCTGCTCTGACTTCACAGCTGATCCTACTTTGTGCAGGAGGTTGGACTACAGACCTCTTGAGCTTGTAATCCAAGCTGATCCTGAATCACCCTATGGTCCTATGAATGTGGGGAAATTAAAAAAGCTACCCATATATGGGAAGAGTTTACTCTGAACAGAAGCTATACAAGAGGCAGGAACCATTCTGAGGCAACATGTTTCTGCAGTGGCTGGGCTAACAGTTCTATGTTCCTTACTGTTAAGTACTGAATGTCTTAAGACAATGTAATCTGTGAAAGCTCTAAAAGTTATCTGCAAACACTCATGCTGAACAACTTCTTAGACATGGAGGAACCTGTCCATGTAAGTCCTAAGCACAAAAGGATACTAATGGAGAATAAAGAGAAGTTGGTCCACTGGTTCATTCCAAGATCTGTTTTATCTGTGAAAATGAGACAGAGATGTCAAAGGGTAAGGGGCAAAGGGTAAGGAACTCCAATAGATGATAATCCATGTTATGGGGCTACAGCTCAGCATGTTTCCAGAAAGAAGCACATGCACTTGGGAACCTCTGCCTAGCAATACAGACCACCAAGATCTGGTTCTTAACAGCGAACACATCTCTTCTGGGACTGATGCTTGATACAAGGACTAAGGAGGATGCAAAGTAACAATCCAAAAAGACAAGGAGGAAGTTAAAGCTCTGGGAAAGAAAGCACACTTCCAGTCTAGTAAGTGAAACATGAGCACAACTTTCAGCTTCCACGTCCTTCCCACAGGGACTAGGATTTGAAAAGTGGAGGTCTGCAGCACTTCTTGCAGCTAATCAACACTTACATCAAGTTCAGAGAAGATCAATGGAGACACAGACAGCATGCGTGACCAAGAATCAAAAAAAAGAGAACAAAACTGTTGAAAACCAGAAGATCCCTGTAGGAGACATTCCAAGATAGAAGATAATTCTGGCTCCAATAATATGCTGTGCCATGCATACCTCTAAGAGCTAAATATTTACTGCAAAAAATCATAAACTTGTACCTCTCTCTTTTACCTCCCCAAATAGTCTAACCCATGTAGTCAGAGCCAGTGAAGTTGGAAGGGAAAACTTTAAAAGTTCTGTTTGCGGCCAATAGTTCCTGAAGCATGTCACTACCACAGAA